CCGCACCGCGGCGCAACCGCTGCCACCGTGCGCACGCAAAGCACAGCAGCACAGCACAGCGAAGCACGGCGAGGCGCGATAGCGAGGCACACCGAGGCACGGCCACTTTGTCCGCCTGCCCTTCTTCTTGCCGCCCCCGAATTTGCATCATCACCATCACGGCCGCCAGGGCCGGGCAGGGCGTTCTCTACACTGGAATAACGGCGGAGCCCGCAAAACCTGCAGGCGTGCGATGACGTCACGCCGTCACGTGACGAGGCCATCCAGCGCAGACGTCGCCGTCGTCGCCGTCGTCTCGGAGGCTTGGGGCGGCCTGGGCCACCTGGAGCAGCGCCCTCCTGAGATTGATACGGCCCGGCCAGGTGCGAGGCCGCGAGGCCGCGAGGAACGCGAGGGCGGAGGAGAGGCGAGGGGTCTCTTGTTCTTCCGCAGCGTTCCGCAGCGCACAGCGAACAGCGCACAGCCCCTCGGAACCCTCGGAACCCTCATTAATGCCTGCCCGAATAATGCATGGAACCATGGAACAGACTTACAGACTGCCACTCTTCGGCAGTGCGCGCCAGCCTCCGCCGCGTGTGTGTGAAGGTCCGCCGCCGCCGCCGGCTTGTCTTTCAGTCAGCCCGTCTGTCCGTGTGCCTCATCCCTAACATTAATAATTTCAAGTTCCCTCCAATAAAAACATTTTATGAACTAAACTGTCTGTGTGTCGGTCTGCCTGCCTGTCCGTCCCTCCGTCTGCGTTTCCCGCTCGTTTGTGTCCTGTTGCTTCAGCTTGTTGGTCCCACGCCATTAGCATCCAAGGCAGGCCAGGCGGACCAGGCCAGGCGTGCCCTGCCGAGCTCGCTCCGCCGCCAAGGGCCTGGTCTTGGAGGAGGCCCAGGCCGAGGCCCAGGTCGCACAAGAAACGACACGGCAACTTTGATACATTTTTTGCGCTTCGCGGCACTATGGCAATGGCGGGGCGCCCTTTGTGTTTGAAATTTCATAACGGGATGGACTTTATTCAGTGTCGCGGCGTGTTTCTTTTCTTGTTAGTCACGCCAGTCGGTACTTACTAGACTCCTCGACTCCCATTCGGTACTTCATTTGCTGACGTCTAAACGGACCATCCAAAATACGACCCCACCCCCTTTTTTTTTTTCGTTCACAGCGCTAGCGTTGGAATTCCCCCTCCTTCGCCGCCCTACGCTCCGCCTTCCCCCATGGGCGCCAGTTTTAATCCTTTCAAACTGCCCCGCAAACTTTTGCTTTCTTATTTGTTTATTCCCCGTCAACTCCATCGACAATTTGAAACATCCCCTCCGGCGGCGGCGTTCCGTTAAAACAAGCGGGGGAGGGGGGCGGGGGAGGCTCCACGCTGGCGGCGGGCGTGCCTGGGCTGCCTGGGCTGCCTGGGCTGCCTGGGCTGCCTAGGCGTGCCTGGGCGTGCCGGGACAGCAATCACTGCCGGCCGGACCCGCCTCTCGGCTCCCCATTGTCTGCCGCTTCATGCACTCACGCCTTATATGGTTGCATCCCCCTCCCCCTGTCGCGCCCCTGCTATTCTAAACCCTCTAGCGGGGGGGGCGACTTTGCGCCGCGGGGCATGCCAGGGTGTATAACGCCCTCACAACATGAGCCCAGAGTACATACAACAAGAGAAAAATAGAGACTCCGTGGAGAACGTAAAGATAGCGGCGGCATCTGGAGAGGGGCGGTGGCCATTAGTGGGGGAGGGGGAGGGGGGGTGTAACACGTGTCGACATGCACGCGATTCCCCTTGACGACTCGGCTGGGCTGGGCTGGGCTCGCCAAATCGCGGGCCAAGGGTCTAAAAAGAGCTCTAAAAGGGGCGGAAGGGGCCGGGCGCCGCATCATTCGCATCACAGCATCATGAAGTCGGCCGCGCAATTTCTCATCCGGCCGGGGAGGTCTCTCTCTCTCTGTCGCTCTCATGGCGCGTCCCGTATAGGTGTGAGAGAGACGGACCGACGAGACCTCCCCCTCGGAATCGGGCTGCTGCACCGTCTCCACTCACTCAGAGCAGACGACGCGGCGTGGCGGCCGAATATTTTGAAGCGGGCTCTCCGTCCGGGCGATGGCGATATCCTCGATATCCTCGATAGCGATCGCTTGACATTCGATTATGCTCCGCGCTGCCGCCTAGGATTGCCCAATCCGCGCCAATCGCAATCCGGATCGACGAGGAATGGAGAAATTCCCTGGCCGTCCGTCCATTTTTTCCCTCCTTTCTCCCCAAAGCACTACCAGACATAAATAAAAAGGCCCATATTATATACACGCAGCGTGTACGCAACAATGGAAAAATTTATTTAAACGCCGCGGGGAATAATATATACTTTAGAAAAACACCCAGCGTGTCTAAAATCACAAAAGTTATTACCGGGAAGGGCCCCCGCCGGAAAGGTTTTTCCAGCGTGTCCAAATGCACTGTTTCCATCACGCAGCGTGTCTGAAAGCGCTTTTAAAATTATTTCACGCTGGAAAATTTTTTCCAAAGCGGAAAAGCTTTTCCGGGGTGTCAATAAAAAAGGGAGGGTTTTAAATTTTACGCAGCGTGTTTGCAACTCCCTATATTATTAGCACTTTTTTTTGGGCCAGCCGGGGAGATAGAGATGCCTAGGAGGAAGCCGACCGGGTGTGTCGCCTCGGGGCTAGTGGATACGTCCTGCATGCCCCCTTTTTTGGAAAGGGTTCGAAACTTGGGAATTTTTTCAAAAGATGTTTGCAAAAATTTTTGGCATTCAAGGGACACGCGGCGTTAATAATAGATCTTTGGTTGTGCAGACCTGCGGTCGCGTGTCGCCAAAAATTATGTGCACGCATCCTTTAAAAAAATTTCCCCAAGTTTCAAACCCGGGGCCAAAAAAAGTGGCATGGGCACCACCCACTCAAACCACGGGGCGACACCCCCGGGTGGCTTCCTCCTAGGCATCTCTATCTCCTAGCTGGCCTAAAAAAGAGTGCTAAAAAAAGGGAGTTGCAAACACGCTGCGAAAAAATAACCCCTCCTTTATTATCACACCCCGGGAAAAAGTTTTTCCAGCGTGAAAATTTTTGGGGGCTTGAAACCACGCTGCGTGAAAAGAAAGGCTGTTTTTATTATTACACCCCGGGAAAAGTTTTTCCTGCGTGTATTAATGAAAAAGCGTTATTTGCACGCCGCGTGTTTTTGGGATTTTTATTTATAAACGCGCTGCTTAACACTTCGAAAAAAAACCGGGGGATCGGCCGGCGAGGGCGCGGGCAGGCGGGGCGTGGCGGGGCGTGGCGGGGCGTGGCGGGGCGAGGCAGAGCGGCCTCTGACTCCAAGTCGAGAGTTTGGCAGAATGATGGAGGGGTGGGGGTGCAGGCCGCGCCTGGCTACGCCTGGCCACGCCGCCGTGCAGGCAGGGACAAGAATGATGCCTGGGTGGAGTTCTTGATTCCCAATCCTCCCGAGGGGTGGAGTCCTGGAATCGCTGACTAGCAGGCCGGCTCCGAACAGCGTTATTGTGACACTCTGTCTTTCTCGCACCCATTGGGGCAGCCCCATGAGTGCAACGGAGACGGAGCGACCAAGTCGTCGAGAGTCGTTTTCGTTCTCAGCCTCTCTTGCATAGGGCCACCCTAGGGGTGCGAGCGGGACAGAGAATCAGCCTGGGCTCACGCCAGCCCCAGAACCTCGTCCACCTCATCGCACTCCTTGGGGCGTCCAACCCCGACACAGGCCGAAAGAAAATCACTTTCCAAAGGGGATTTGAACTCGCGACGGACCGATCGGCTCGGATATGGAGGCCTCGCCTCTCCTCTCGCTGCACGGCAACCTGGCTCTCCCTCGCTACTCCGCCGATGACGTCACGCAAAACTCAATTCCCGCCAAAACCAAAGTGACTTCCGGTGGCATTTGCCTGGCGGCCTGGCGCGCTCTCTGCAAACAGACGACGGGACGCGGGCTGCGCGGGACAGGGTCGAGGAGGGGCCGGGGAGGGGGCGGGCCGGCGGGCCCAGAAAGGTGCGAACGGAGGAGGGCCGAGAATTTGCTTTAAATATGCATTACAGTCATAGACAAATACCATCAGAGAAGCGGTAAAATGACGTTCCCCGTCGAGGGTTAGAGTCGGAGGGAGAAGTCGAAGGCGGCCTCGAATAAGTAGGAATAAAAATGAATTGGAAATGAAATCGAACCGCAAAAACTGTTGGTTCCAAAGTTCCGCACTGCTGCGACTCAACTGGCTCCCGAGGTTCCACGTCCAGCATCCAGTGCAGTGTACGAACAAGCGAGGGGGGAGGGGCGCACTGTGGCGGTGCGGCGGTACGGCAGCCGATAGGACTCTCTCGGCGGCGCCCCGCCCTCCCCCTCCCCGGTCAACAGCATTCATGACTCGGCTGCATTAGACTTCGGTCAGCCTGCACTGTAAAATCTAGTGTCGTATTCGTGCTTTATCCGCAGGCGATCCAGTCTCATTGGCTCCCGGCTTGCAACGGCTTCCAGTGCACCCACCGTGCGGACCGTACGGTCCCCTCCTGAGAACCCGGGGCATCGAGTCAAGTTAGTCAACCCGGGACAATCAGGTCAGAGGCACGGCACAGGCGCAGCCTCTGACGGTGCCGCCAGCATGGCAATGCACTGCCGATCCAGGCACCCAACGATCCCACCCAACTGCCTTTGGCTTGGCTTTGGTGCCGACGACAAGCAAACAGAGGGAAGGCCAAAGGCGGGGGCGGAACGGCGAAGCCGAAGGCAGGCAGAGGTGTGCCAGTACCAGTCCGCATTTGCATTTGATTGCCGTGCCCCGATCTCGGTACAGGTCGGTGGCTGGCTGTTGGGCTGTCGTCACCACTGCCCTTCCCCCTGCCTCTCGTTTCGTGCTAATTAGCATCTGCTTGCATAAAAACAGACAGTTTCTGCAGACAGCCAGAATCGTCCAGATCTGTGTGCCCTCATGACACTTTATCATGGATGCGCGGATTGGGACAGACAGGGTCTTTAGAACTGGAAAAATAGGTAAACTTCATACTGGCATTTTCTTTGTCAAGTTTATTTTTAAATGGTTTCAATTTATTTTACATTACATACATAATTCTATACAAATTTAAACAAAAGTTGGTACCTATAATTTTGAAAAAATGTCTAATTCCTGCCCATTGCCTGCTTTGAACCTCTGATAGCATTGGCCCGCTTGATTCGTTTACCCTTTTTCCCACCCTCTTTGATCTTTGATATTCTTTTGTTCTTTGTTTGTGACTTTTTCCTGCTTTTGATTTTGTCCAGTTTGTTTTTCATTTGATAAACCTTGCTTTTTTTAACGCTTCTTGTTGCTTCTTTCTTAATTACCTTTTTAAGCTCTTTAGCTGAATTAAAAACAGGTCCCTTATCTTCTTCTTCTTCTTCATCTTCCGATTTTGACTCTTGTTTGATTTTCTTCTTGACTTTTCTCTTGAGACCCATTCCAGGGACCAACTCCACTTCAGACTCAGCGCCATCATTTTCTTCCTTGCTGGGCTCCTCTTTTACAGCATACGATGACTGAAACAAGCCAAGGTGCAGTAGATCTTGGAATGTCAACACAATTGTTACAAAATGTGAAACAGTTCAACTTACATTATTAGCACCAATCCAATTATTTTCCTTTGCTAGGGCTTGAGAGGATAGCTCTACAATTTCAACAGAGTGAGTACCGAGATCATGTTCTTCTTTAAGAAGATGTTCTATTTCAGGAATTGTTGAATGGGATTTTACCATGGTCTTGTACGATTCTTTGGCCTGAGGAAAACAACAAAAGAAATTCATAAAAATCAAATAGGAATAGAATTTTTAAAAAATACTATAATTATATGTTGCAGTAGTACCGCTTCTCTTATCCGTTTCCGTTCTTCTTTCAACTTTTTCTGCAGCTCCTCTTGAAACTTGGCCTTCCTCTCCAGCTTTCTTTTTCGAAAGCCCGTCAAAAATTCTCTGAGGACCAAAATTTGAGATAAGAAAATGGGGTAAAATAATGGCATAAGGTTACTAGGATGAAAGTGTAAATTAATTTTATTCGAATATTACCGTCTTGCTTCTGGGTCAAAAACCAGCTCAACTTTCTTCTTCTTTTGACCCCGTTTGTTTTTACGTTGTTTTCCTTCCATTCTAAATTCAGCAGATAAAACGTCAGACACTGTCGATGACTTAACCAACGTTAAGCACGTTTGTTTGGACTAACAACACAGGACGACTTAACCTCGAAACTGCATTTGGGGATCACCGCCTGCTGTTAACGATGCATAACTGACGCAAGATTGCACCGTGGTGTCCAACGTAGAAAAAAATATTAATTGAAATTCATTTGATTTCCTCAATATACCAAGATTAACAAGAGTCGTATTAGAAATTTCGAATAAAATAGCACAATGGCGTATCCATATATAACTAACTTGTTCTCCACAGTAACAAATGGCTTTGCAAAATAGGGTGATAGGATGTTGGCAACATCTGCCTTCAAAATCGTCAAAAGCAGACGACGCCGCAGCACACGAGCGACACGACTGCACTCCTGCTCAAATATTTTCTGTTTTGACGCAAATAATCGCGATAGACATTACAAATTTTTTGAGTATGTTTTACTTCTACCCAAAACCAGTGTTTAATACCAAGATAGCCGACTGACAACCAGGGTATGTCTTTGTAAGAACCTAGTACTCTACTCTTTGCCATTTTCAGTTTGAACGTTCCCAGTAAAAGCAACTCCATGTAAACATTTGAAGCTGGTCATAATTAGATCTCGTTAGATACGATTGAAAATTTGTGGTAATCCGATTCGTTGCACTCGCGCAACAGCTCCCAGCCATTGTCTGATGGAAAGAGGCGGTACCCGTTTCCAGTCGCGGGTTTGATGCAAAGGTACGTGGTTATGCCCCTAAAGGGTATCTGTCGTCTAGCGTAGTAGGCAATGCAAATGGAAATTTCGGATTGGTCCAACACCAAACCAATGGGAGGGGAGGTGCGTGAGTTGCGTGCCAGACCTGGGATAAAGTGGGACTCATCAGCAACATGGCTGACAGTATAAATTTGAGAGCGTCAGGATGTCTTTCTCTCGGAAGAATTTTTTGCACTCCGTCACTTTCTTTATCAAAATTATTACATTTCAACTTCTCTTTTGCGGACTTATATGTTCGCCGTGGACCTCTTTGACTTGAGAACGGGAAATGCAGCTGTAAGAACATAGTAGTGCTCTTGTAGGTTAAGTGATTTTTCCTCATCCTAAATCCTATCTGCAGATTAAACGCATGGTCGCATTGCCCTATTTTGCCCAATTCATAATGCGCCAGATTCCCTTAAGGGCTGGCTCACTATGTGAACCACCTCATACGTGGGGGCCGTTTTCTAAAAACCGTTACATGAACTGGGGTTGTTAAGTCGTCCTTCTAGTGGACCTAGAAAGCTTCCCTTTTGATTAAATTCGAAATGTGCATTCTGACGCTCTCTTTTTATATAACTCGGAAGTTGACACGTCGCCATATGCACAGACCTCCCTGAGTCTGTGGTTGATGCGCTAATAAATCAAATTGAAATTTTTTGAGGAAACCTCATCTGATGTTTATTTGTGACATAACCTTCTTTCTCTCTTCTCTAACAGATGGTCGTATATGTGGAGGAAAATGAAGTCCAGTTTCCTTCAACAATTGTTGCCTTTTCTTTCACTTTAAAAATGGTCAACGGCCTGATAATGGAGTTTCCTCCGGCCCTAGTCCCTCTCAAATTTCTTTCTCGGAGGTTGTCAAGACTATCCTGTTCTCTTTCACATTTATTTTATTCTCTTTAAAATTTTAATGAAAGGGCTTTTTTATACCTTATGAGACAGAATGAATTTTTCTTGGTTTCATTTCAAACACTAGCCAGTACACTCATTTAAAAAATATCGCTTGTCTCTTGTCAATTTTTTTTTTTAATCTAAAATTTTGGGAACAAATTTGTCAAATGGTTTTGGTTACTAGTAAAGATGGAATGTTGACAGGGGACATCACTCACTGTTTCAGGTCAACATCTGGTAATGCAGTCTCAGTTGCTGCTAATATCCAGTTAAAACACTACCCTGTGATTTCTATGTGAAAACATCTGTGATATAGAAAATAAGGCCTTAATCATGACATCCCGGTAAGTTACAATGGTCATCCAAAGCGGTCTGTCAAACTCCACCTCTAAAAAAGACCCTAATTTATCAGAGGGAAGATCAATGAAACAATACTTATTATTTGGTATCATATCTACTCCTTGATGTCAAACTTAACAATGGATACATAATTAACTTCCAGGCTGGATCGATTATTTGTCCTGCTTGAAAATGGGTCCTCTGCTGTTACCCGCAAAGCTGCTGCTTGCCAGTTGGGTGAAGTTCAAAGACTGCATCCACATGAACTCCACAACTTGTTGGGTCGAATCCACACTTATTTACACAGTCCAAACTGGGAAACAAGAGTAGCAGCAGGACAGGCTGTTCAAGCAATACTTAGCAATGTGCCAGAGTGGGACCCACCTGGATGTTTCAAAAGTGGTAAGGATATAACCAATGATCGTAAATGTTTTGAGTAAAAGATACTTTTAACCACATGTATGGTTTTTGTAGAAGAGGGTTCTTCTGCTTCTCATTCGCTCTTTCAAATGGGTCGTCTCACGTTCAAGAAATTTGACGTGGACCAAGTGATGGCCAACAGTGCTCATCTTCTTGGTTCAGAAGGTAGAGAGTACAACACAGATGAGTCATTAGCTGGTAAGGGGCTGAGAAAGAAAGTTTTAGTTTTCATTGAATCTTTTTATTTATTTGGTCTTGTTTAACAATGGGATTTTTTTAAAGGTTTAGATACCAAAGAACGTCTTGCTAGACAACGGCAACAAGTAAATGCTCAGCTAGGTTTGGATACTATGGCAGTTCTTGGGGTGGATACATCAGATATTGTGTCAGAAGAAGATATAGCATGCGCCTCCGTTCTATTACCAAAGGCTGAGTCAAAGGTAAGCTACGAGTTATTGTTTTTGATCTAAACATTAAGGTGTAGAAATATAAAAAGACCTTTTACCTCTCCATTATAGAAATCTATATCTGAAATGCTTGGACAAGGACCATGTGGAACTGAAAATTTTAAACTTCGCCGTCTATCACGTGCAAATTCTAAACTAAATGCACTTGGCGACTTGGATAATACTGGTGAACCTGACTGCAAGCGTATAAAACTAGAAGATAGTAATGAAATTAATTTCAAGTCAGAAGACTTAGCACAACTTGCTATGCCTGGTAATGGTGAAAGTGTACCTGATGGTACAGGCAGTTGGGGAGATGTAAGTTTTATTTTGACTCAATAAATAGAATTTCATAAACCAGGTCGTATCTGCTCGGTTTTAACTCCTATTTCTTTCATTTCAGACCATAGATTGGCCATTTGAATTCTTCTGTGATCAATTATGTCGAGATCTGTTTAGCTCTAAATGGGAGGTTCGCCATGGTGCAGCCACAGCTTTAAGAGAGTTTGTTAAAATTCATGGTCCTGGTGCAGGGAAACAAGCAAATGTCTCCCAAACAGAGGTAAAAATATTAAAAATTGTCTCTAGCATTATTTAATTAGCCTATCTTACACTTTCTCAGCATGATTTGTATTTTGCTTAGATGGAAGCCTTACATCAGCAATGTCTTGAAGACATTGCACTTCGTCTTCTGTGTGTCTTGGGCTTAGATAGATTTGGTGACTTTGTGTCAGACCAAGTTACAGCTCCTGTCAGGGAAACTTGTGCTCAAGCTTTGGGTGAGATCATTGTCAACTCTTACTTTTCAAACTATCATTCTTGGAAAATATATTGTTTTACAAAATTCTTTGTTAAATTTTCAGGCATGGTTCTGCAATTGTTACCACCTGAAGGTGTCCAATGTACGCTGAAGGTTTTGCTCCAGCTCTTAAAACATGAAGAGTGGCAAGCCAGGCATGGAGGACTGCTTGGTTTAAAATATGTTTTGGCAGTACGAGAGGTTTGTATTTTTTTTTGTTTTTGTTTTTTTGACCAATTTTGTAGACCTTTGTCAAGACATCCCATTTTCCTGCAGGATTTACTCGGAGAGCTTCTTCCCCTGGCGTACCCCCACATTATGGAAGGCCTTGCTGACCCCGTTGATGACGTTGGTGCAGTCGCGGCCTCTGCTCTGATTCCTGTCGCCGAAACAGTGATAAATCTCATGGGAAATCAAGTGGATGGAACTATTCAACAATTATGGGACTTGCTTGAAGAACAGGATGAGTTAGCTGCAGCATGTAACAGTTTCATGGGCTTGTTGGCTGCTCTTCTTAGTGTTCCCAAATGTCAGACTTTATTAAGGTACGATATTGAAAAACTTTACCCAACTGTACTGTTTTTAATGTTACATACATATGCTCCTAAAGTATTGAACTATATTCTTAATTGACTCCTTTGTAGTCCACTACCATTGTCTGTCGTTGTTCCTCGTTTGTGGCCATTTCTGAGCCATAACACATCATCTGTTCGGCGAGCAACTCTTCAAACACTCTTTACCCTTACTGGGTCCCAAAATATTGATTGGACCCTGGAAGTATTGCAGGCTGCGCTGCGACATGTGTTTCAGATGGTTTTATTGGAGCCAATCAGAGAGATACAACTATTGGCTGAAAAGGTAGATATTTATTTTGATAAAAAAACAGTTTGTTAAAAAATTGTGTTAATAAAAAAAATGATTCTTAATCTTTTTATGTATTTACAGGTGTGGATCAATCTATTACAAAATTCACCTTTATCCCAACTGTTACTGGCAGCTTGCCCATATGTTACAACATGGCTTTGCCTAACTATGCAACCAGCTAAAGTATCCTTTGACAACAGTGTTTTAATTCATTGTGTCAGAGTAAGTTAATTAAGTAGTTCATTAGGTACATCAAGATTTGCGTTTGTTGTTCCATATTTTACCCTGCATCAATAACTTTTCACAGGAAAGCTCAGAAAAGAGCACCAGGAGGACAAAAGCTTTTTCATCTCTTGAATCAAATTGTGGAGGAACAGTGCCAAAGCTTTACATTGGTGGGGGCCAGACAGTTCCTGCATCAAGTCACGATCCAAATGTTGTTCAAGCAAGAGTTATTGCATGTAGGATGCTTGGTAAGAGGCTAATACTTTGTTTTGAACTTCTTCTTTTTTTTCAGTGCATTTTGAATCATAAAAACCCTGTGTGTTTTTACATTTTCAGGTGCACTTTCATGCTATTTAGTCCAAAAAGCACCTGGCGTTATCTACACACCTGATGTGGAGTCCCCAGTTGAGTGCTACACAAGAGTCATGCTTGTTCACCTTAATTCCAAATCGGCCCTACAGAGGATGGTTGCTGCTCTAGTTCTTATGGAATGGGGAAAACGACACAACCAAGTGAAGCTCAATACAGAAGGCTTGGCTGTAAACAATGAAGCGATGCCGTGTCCAGTAAATTTATCATCATGTCTTCATTCATGTTTGAATGAAAGTATTTACTATGATGAAATAGCTCACGCCTACACAAAACTTTTGCAAGATGCATGGGACTTTGTAGCACTTTTAAAGCATTACAAGCTCTCTGTTCCTGGATATGATGGCAACAAACAGGTATGTTGTTAAATGGGAGGTGGAACAGTGTTGTACCATCTCTAAGTTTAGTAGTTGTTCAAATTCTGTTTCTGTTACCCCCTGTCTGTAGGTTTTGACTCTGGAGCAGATTCAGCAGTTAGTAGGAACTGTTTCGGAAGAACTACTTTCTCAGCAAAAATTAAAGCCAAAAGTGATGGACACTTTGGAGCAAAGTCGCAAAAACATACAGAAAGCTGTTGCTCAAACTATGTCTGATCAATCTGTTCTTCATATCATGTAGGTCACGCCTCTTATTACCAGTATTATTTGGTTAACAACATTTGTTTCTTTTTGAACCTAAATGTTTTTTTTTCTTATGCCTCAGGACTCAAGCTGCTATTGCAAATGCAGTAATTATGTTAAACTGCTTACCTGAGAAATTGCATCCTGTGTGCAAGTCGGTGATGGAATCAATCAAAAGAGAAGAAAATGACATGTTGCAATCACTGTCTGCTGAATGCCTAGCTTCTTTGATTGATATGGCCACTTCACGAACCCCATGTCCTGTTGACAAAATCATCACTAACCTATGTATTTTCCTTCGCTCTGACCCTGAATTCACCCCACAAATAAAGCCCTCTTTAGACAATAATGCTCACAATAGTGCTCAAAACTCAGCAAGGACTGTTGTAGCAGGAGCAGCTGCTAGCCACAAATTAAACAATTTTAATGGTATTCCTACGCTAGTTAATCAACAGAAGTCGGCCGAGAGAGCCATTTATCGTCGGTCCAATTCTACTGGGCGCGGTCCTGGTAGACCTCCCATTCATGACCTTCCTCCTGAAGATCTTTTTCCTGCTGATGAAGAGGCTCACAAAAGAAATCAGATTATGAGGAGAGGTGCCACATTTGCCTTGAAGTCTGTGACTGCCCATTTTGGCAATGCTTTACCCACTAAACTCCCAAAGCTGTGGGAAATCATAACAGGGCAGATTCAACCTAAACCTGACACTGTTCCACTAGGTGTGTGTTGAAAAAGTATAAATTAGCGGGTACGTAGAATGAATTATTATCTATTTTCTTATGTTAATATTTACTTTTAGATCTTTCAAAAGTTGCTGGTGATCAAGCTGCAAAGGAATTAATAGCTGATTTGCAAGTGCTTGAAGTCACAAGTGATGCTCTTCAAAGGGATTTATTACCAGAGGTAAAATAAACAGTGCATCACTTTTACATTTGTACTCTTGTGTTTTTTAGTTTACTGCATAAGAGATATTGTTTGTTTTCTTTTACAGATTATCAGCTATTTGCCCCAACTTTGCCAACTTTTGACCCACACATACTCTGCTGTTAGGCATATGGCTGCGCGTTGCATCGGTGTTTTAGCTTCCCTTTCCTCAGCTCCTGTCATGGAACAGGTGGTGACTCGAGTTTTACCACTTTTGGGAGTTGTTCATAATGACACATATCGTCAAGGAGCCATGGAAGCTATCATGTGCATCATTGAAAAATTGCAAACTAACATCATACCATTTGTTGTTGTGTTGATAGTACCTCTCCTAGGTATGTAAACTGAATTATATTTGCCATCATATTTCCTACTTGTGCTGCTGTGATTCTTTTTTTTTCTTTTTTTTTTCAATTATTCAGGCCGTATGAGTGACCACGATCAATCTGTTCGCATGTGTGCAACTCATAGCTTTGCCACACTTATTCAGCTCATGCCTTTAGATGGCGGTGTTCCTGATTCACCAGATGTTTCTAGTGAATTTGCAAAGCACAAACAGGCTGAGAAACAATTTTTAGGACAATTGTTTAATCCTAAAAGTATATCAGATTTCAAAATTCCTGTACCTATTAATGCTCAACTGCGTTCATATCAGCAGGTACTATTGGTGTCTATGAGGATCTAGTTGTATTTATTTTATGCCCTGTTTTTGCTATCTTACTTAATCTTTTCCAGAGTGGTGTAAATTGGTTAGCTTTCTTAAATCAGTATAAATTACATGGAATTCTGTGTGATGATATGGGCCTTGGAAAGACTTTGCAATCTATCTGCATACTAGCCAGTGATCATTATAACCGTGCTGTTAATTATAAGGTAAATTAATTAGCAGGAAATTGATCCAATGCTTTAAGTGTTTGCTTATTTTTACCAAAAATCCCTTTTCAGAAAACTAGGAATGCTGATAGTGCACCATTGCAATCCTTGGTCATATGTCCCCCAACTTTAACAGGACATTGGGTTTATGAGGTGGAAAAGTTTTTACCAAAGAAATACCTGAATCCTCTTCAGTATGCTGGGCCTCCGGTTGAAAGAGAAAAGTGGGTTTTGCTATGTTTTTGGTGTAACACTTGTTTTGCACTCTTTACTATTAAATTCACACTATTTTGTTTTGGTGCACAGATTGAGGAGCACATTTAAATCCTACAACCTAATAGTGGCATCTTATGATATTGTTCGCAAGGATATAGACTTCTTTAGTGCTATCAGATGGAATTATTGCATTCTTGACGAAGGGCAATACATCAAAAATGGAAAGACCAAGGTAAATGATGTTTTGATTTATTTACTTGCCGGATGCTATTGTCATTTTCTCTTATGCTATCTTTATGTCCACAACAGGCTTCTAAGGCAATCAAACAACTAGTTGCAAATCATAGGCTTATATTATCTGGAACACCAATTCAAAATAATGTTTTGGAGCTGTGGTCTTTGTTTGACTTCCTAATGCCTGGTTTCCTTGGCACTGAGAAGCAATTCAATGCTCGTTACAGTCGACCTATTTTGGCCAGCCGAGAAGCGAAGAGCTCTGCCAAGGAACAGGAGGCAAGTGTTTTGGCTATGGAAGCTTTGCATCGGCAGGTATGTCACTTTTAAGGAACAATGTTATTTGCTTTTTGTAGAAAACCTTGCACTTCCTCATATCTGTTTCTGTTGTACAGGTACTTCCATTCCTGCTGCGAAGAGTGAAGGAAGATGTCCTTCATGATTTACCACCAAAGATAACACAGGACTATTATTGTGAGTTGAGTCCACTGCAACAGAGGCTGTATGAAGACTTTGCTCGTACACCAGCTCACCAGTCCTTAGCTGAGACCATTGCACACTCTGATGCAGCAGCAAATGCTTTGCAGGCAAACACTCACATATTTCAGGTGAAATTTTCTTTTAGAGTAAAGTTATTTATTAGAATAAAATTATAGAAATAATAATTGAGTTCTGGGAGTGTTGTTTAACTGTGTGGTTCTTCTGTCTCATTTGAAGGCTTTGCGGTACCTTCAGAAGGTGTGCAACCACCCAAGGCTTGTTTTGGGACCCTCGCATCCAGAGTATGACAAAATTGCTGCAGAGCTTCATTTACAAAAAAGTGACCTACAAGATATCCAGCATGCAGCTAAACTGCCAGCTCTCAGGTAGTGCCTTAAAGATTAACCCATTTTCTTTTTCATCTTTTGAATTTTTTTGTAATCTGTCTGTGATCTGCAGGCAATTGCTTTTGGATTGTGGCATTGGTGCTGAACCATCCTCAGTCACATCTGGACAGCCAGGCGATATTGCCATCAACCAGCACAGAGCCCTTATTTTCTGTCAACTTCAAGTCATGCTTGACATAGTGGAGGATGACTTGTTGAAGTATGTAAAGCCTTCTAAATGCAGTATGTCTTTCATCAAATGTCCTCTTAGCACCACTCATTTTCCTTAATCCCTCATATACTCTCAGGAAGCATATGCCAGGAGTTTCATACCTACGTTTGGATGGAAGTGTACCGGCTACCCAAAGACAGGCAGTTGTACAACGCTTTAATAAGGATCCATCCATAGATGTTTTGCTTCTTACAACACAAGTTGGTGGGCTAGGTCTCAACCTCACTGGTGCTGATACGGTGAGTTCGCACATCAAGCTCCTTTAATAATGTTTATCTCTCAGTTAATGTTTCTTTCTGATGCTAACTTGCTGATTTTCAGGTAATATTTGTGGAACATGATTGGAATCCAATGAAAGACTTGCAAGCAATGGACCGTGCTCACAGAATAGGCCAGAAGAAGGTTGTAAATGTTTACCGCCTCATAACTAGGTCTACTTTAGAAGAGAAGATTATGGGGTAAACCTTGATTTTAATTTTAAATGTTCAGTTTATTATTTTGCCTTGTTCTGTATACCGGTATTAAAAATGGGAACTGTTTTAAAATTTCAGGTTGCAGAAGTTTAAAATGCTTACTGCTAACACTGTAATCAGCAGTGAAAATGCAAGCATGGAAACAATGGGGACTGACCAGGTAAACATCTGTAAAAGATATGTGTCTTGAATCACTTCCTGTTTTTCTAATTTTACTTTATTTTATGTCATTCCATTCACAGCTGCTCGACTTATTCTCACTTGATGGCAAGGCTAAGACTCCTAATGGTTCATCAAATTCCATTGCAAATGTGGGAGGCCTAACGGGTGGCAGTGTTCAGAGCATGCTCAACACCCTACCGGACCTGTGGGACGCCAAGGAATATGAAGAAGAATATGATATGAAGACATTTATGAGCACGTTGAGGAAGAACTAAAGTAGTTTGGGATTTTTTTTTAAAGATACACGTTTTATTATGTCATGTGGTCACTCTGCACTGTAATGCCCAAAGACACTTTTGAATTAAAATATTTATGTGCTTTAAGTGTCCAAATCAATTTTCTTTTTCTCTGAATAAATTGGCCCATTGACCAAATATCAGTATTATGTATATTGTGTTCTAGCCAATCAAATTTTGATGCAATGTAGCCAATGTTTCTGCTTTTGTATTTGTGTGTTTGTTTGTTTTTTCTTTTTTTTTCCCTTTTTGCTTTCCTTGAGCAGATTTTCAATATATTTTTCTTTAATTCAAAATTGTTTCAGTCCTTTCTGCTGACTGAAGTTTTGCATTATGTTTGTATCTGCATTTGTGACTACAGAGCTCAACCCATTTTCAATTGGGAAGCCAATCTTTAAAAAATTGTGAAAGGGTATATTCAGCTTGACTGTAAAGTGAAGAATATTTCATAATACACATGACTGGCAAGTTGGTCGCTTTCTTTGACTGTAAACAATTTTGTTTGCCACCAACTGCTATGTAAATTCCTCCCTTCAGAATGGTTCTTTCTTTTCTTTGGCATTCAAATTTGGTATACCCTTGGCATAGTACTTTCTGGTTTCTCTGTTTATTTTAAATCTCTGTAGTTTGACTATACTTGGGTTGGAGTAACTGAATGACTGAACAATAATTTCTTTAAGTTTCAATCCAGTGTGCGCATACCATTGTTTCTGTTCTTTTCAAATGTTTATTGTTTTAATTAAGAGGTTTTGCCGGTAGTTGAACTTCTTCAGCACATCCAATCAAGCAAAATTTTTTTTGTATGGATTCTTTACTTTTGACACACAATTCATGTTAATGGTGGTTCACTAATTTAGGTATTTATTTTTAAATAGAAGGGAAAATAGTTGAGACTAATGCGATCAAACTTATCATGCTTTCACTGTGATGCCAGCTTGGAGTCAAAGTGTCCAACTGAAATGAGAGTATGATGACTAGTCAAAGTTCTGTGGTAAAGGCCATATTTGTCTTGTGTGTCTGAAATTAGAAGAGAAGTGAAGACTCGATCCCAGCACTTCAGTTTTCATTTTGTCAGCACATGACTGATCATGAGATTTGTAGAGAATCTGTAGGCTTCTGTAAATTCATCCCGGCTGTAACTTTATGATGATGATCCACATAGCTATGTTAATTTGTTATGGTAATTTAACATCAGCGGCATCCTGGAGCTAGTCAAGTGGTCATCTGAACGTAATTTACGATCTGCTTCATTTTTTGTTTCAGTTTTTTAGTTCTTATTACTTTTCCAAGATACAAAGGGAAGGAATTGACCTTTTTTTAAATCTACTGCCCGTCTTTGAGCTTGGCAGTACAAAATGTATCATCATATTTTTTTAACCTAATCTCTAGGGTACCTGATAGTGAGTGCTGAAGCCAGCACCTAGTTCACTGTGATAAACCTTATTTTAAAAAAAGTGAATTTTATCACTTTTGCTCACTGCAGTTGTAACTGAAGTATGACTATTATGTCTATAGGTGTATCCTATTTTGTGTGTTGGTTTATAATGTGTGGCAATTCACTCAACAGTTTGCATGATATGTAAATTTAGTCAAAATCTGAATGATTAGTTTGTATTGAATACTATTGTCTATTTTTAAGATGGTCTGCTGAATCAACTCAAATGGATATTGTACAACATATCGTAAATTACAATCCCATTTGTAATTTGGCATACTTTGCTCACAAAACGAGCTACTGTTAGACTTGATTTTTACTGCCTGTATTTATGTCAGCTAGTCTAACTGATCACATCTATGTGAAGCATTTGTTTGCAAAGACTGACTATCATCATCCTGCAAACTCAAAAATGTTGCATCGGTGATGACCAAACCGGAGTACTGAAATTATTTCTCTTTTGTTTTTGGCAGAGGGGCAAAATTATTCCGTTCAAAAGGCTACTGTAAGTTTTGCATTTGTTTGTATTTTCTGATGATAAAATAATTCTTACAGTGTTGGTCCATTTTCTGTTTTCTCTGAGCGTGTGAAAATGTTGTGTACAGTTCATCCAAGCTCTCAATAAAGAATACTATTGAAGGTTCTCGTTTCCTTTATTCGGCCAATGAAAGAATTCAGGAAGCGCAAGAAAACCAAAACAGATAACAGAACTTTTCAAATGGTCCGGAAGTGGAAGACATCCGAATTGCAATAGTGATGAGCTCTTCGTGCTCCGCTGCGCTCTTCCCCCCCCCCCCCCCCCCCCCCCCGCTCTTGTTGTGGCAGTGGCAAAGGCAAAGGACACAGGGGAGGGGGTGAAGGGTCGGAAGGGTGAGAGGTTTCAAAACAAATTGAAATTCGCTCGTACAGTAACGTCTGGTTTCCTTTAAGAAAATTCGCCGTCCGTCCCTCATCCTTTACCAGAAATGAATTCAAGTAACATAATCACCACAACTCTGATTAAACAGGTAAGAAAACCAATGTCACTGTGAGGGTTAGTGTCCTACTGCTGTCATTTGTATTTTCTGATTCCCTATATTGTTTTACTCTTGTTACAGGCATCTTGCATTCAGACCTTGTCTTCGGTATGCATTAAACGCCAATGTCTCTTGCCTTCTTCTGATGCTGCTTTATACGGCAAACGCTTTGTTTCAAGTAACAACGACAGTGGTTCAGGTCCTTCTTTCCAAGACTCTACTAATGTGAACCGAAGAGTCAATTCAAGTCCCGGAAGTGATGCTAAACGTTTGAAAAGTGAGAGTGAAAATGAGCTTCCAGAAGAGCCTACAGATTGTTGTATGTCAGGTTGTGCTAATTGTGTTTGGATTCAATATGCCGAAGAACTGAAAAACAAGTTCTTCTCGAGTGATGAAGAGCTTCGCACCATAATTATGGACAAAATCTCTGATCCTAGTATGAAAATGTTTCTCTCGCTTGAATTAGATAATTTATCTGATGAAAGTAAGTGGAGGCCTGATGATAAGGTTAAAAAGGAATAACTGACTCAGAGATCACCTTGTAGTTCATTTAAATGTAATGTGTGATATTTATTAATCTTTCTCTTCATCGTAAGGGCCTTCTTTTTTAGAAATATTGACTGCTTTTGTTGTGATGTATTTAATTTCCTAAGAAAGTATTGTAATTATTGGAACTTGCTGAAACTTTTGAATCTGTGAAAGTTAATATGAAAATATCAGTTCCTTGTGGATATTGAGTTAAAGCTTGTTTTGTTTGGTGTAATCACATTAAGAAACTATGTTTTTAATTAGGTTCGTAACTAGTTTACTTAATAGTTAGGGTGATACTTGTGTTTGTAAGTCACTATTCAGGATCCATTTTTGTCTTCTCTTCCTCTGATGTGTGTTAAAAGATGTCTTAAGCCTTATTATTTTGTAGATGTTAAGTGAGAAGACTGAACATTTTGATGATATGGTGGACACGCTGTGAGCAATCCCATATGTTATCTTGTGAAAAATATATTTATTTTTGTAAACAGAATAACTATACACAATTGTAAAATATATATAATGAGATGGTGCAGCTCTGGAATGTAGTTTGTATTATTTTACTTATTACTCAACCGTGGCGAATTTCCTTACGTCATGTATTCTTGCTCCAGCAGACGGAGTGCAAATGTAGAACATGGGGTTGCCCTTGTACTTTGACTTGATGTTTTGCATCACTTTTTGCACGGCATTCTTATAGACCTGTGAGACAGTTGATAAAATAAACGCTTGTCAAGAGAATCGAAGTGCACCTTCATTGAAAACTTGGAAGAAACCTTACAAATGTAACGGTGCAGCCGCCGAAGCCGCCACCCGTCATCCGTGAGCCCAGGACTCCCTCTACCTCGACCGCAGCGTTCACGAGCTGGTCGAGCTCCGGGCAAGACACTTCATAGTCCGTCCTGAAAGGTACAAGTTTTTCTCATTCAAGTTGAACGTTCAGCAGTTGTTGGATGTGAACACCGCGTCACGGAATGGGCCAAGGGACGGGCGCTGACGCACTGACCTGAGCGATGCGTGGCTCTCCACCATGAGGGTGCCGAACCTGCTGTAGTCCCTGGCCTTGAGCGCCTCCGCCGCCTCCTGGGTGCGCCGGATCTCCGTCACCACGTGCCTGGCGCGCTGCAGCACCACGGCGGGCACGCGGCCCTGGAGGGCTGTGGGCAGGACCAGGGCGGCGGTGCAGTGTGCAGTCGCAGTGCAGTCGCAGGGAAGGCCAAACCCCACACCCACCTGCGGCCTGCGGCCTGCGGCTACCCCGGCCTAGCGCCGTGGCGGGTAGGCAACCACGCGCTTGCAGCACACCGCCGCGCGCTGGTTGCCTACCCCGAGCCTCGCAGGCGCGCTCGCCTGTCACTGTCACTGCCATACTTGCAACTGCACTCACTCTGGAGGTCGGCGACGGTGGCGTCGCGGAGGGACTTCTTGCCCAGGGCCTCGGCGGCCTGCTGGCACTGCCGGCGCCGCGTGGGGTACTCGCTGCCAGACAGCTCGTGCTTGATGTTGGAGTTGGTGACCAGCACCACCAGCTCGGGGTCGTCCAGCGGCACCAGGCGGGACTCGAGGGACCTGGAAAGAAGGTCGCGACGCGAGGCAGTGTTAGCGTGTTTGGCGAGCGGCCGGCGTGGAGTCTCGGGCCGCAGCCCTGCAGCCCTTCTTACCGACAGTCGATGAGCAGCGCGTTGCCCTGCTTGCCCATCACGGAGATGAACTGGTCCATGATGCCGCACGGCATGCCGGCGAACTCATGCTCCGCCTTCTGGCACACCAGGGCCTTCTCCGAGAGCCTGTCGGCAGCGGGAGGGTGAGTGAGAGGTGTTGGGACCCGCAGCCCGCCGCCATACCCCAGCCAAACTCACTTCTGGCACTTGCGGCCGGTGATGGCCTCCAGGAAGGTGTAGGTGGCGACCTCCAGCGACGCGCTGCTCGACAGCCCGCCGCCCAGTGGCACGCTGGACACGACCACCGCGTCGAAGCCGGGGCAGCCGCCTGGGGGATGGGGGTGCACCGTCAGTGTCAGCGAATCTCAGTCTGCCTCCATTCCGAACATTGTTTCGTCGCACTGTCTCTCTCGCACTCATGTGGCTTTGTATCGGTGCGAGAGAGACAGCGTCATCGCGCCTACCTGGGAAGTGGGCGACGACGCCCTTGACGTAGTTGGCCCACTTGGGCGTCCCCGGCTTGAGCGGCTTCTCCAGGGAGGGCACCGCGAACTGGGTGCGCTTCGGGGCGTCCGCGTCGGGGCTGTTGGTGCACAGCGTCACCACGTCCGACCCGTTGCAGCGCCCCAGCACCACCGTCACCATGGGCAGCGCCTGCGACACGCCACCCAGTCCCACCCCCTCTCAGCTGCATACTTGTGCATTTGCATTTGCGTGACCTTAGCGGACGGGATGGTGCGGGACCACAGTGTGCTGCTGACGTCCGCGGCCATCGGGGTGTTGTCAAGATACGCGGGATCTCGATTGGTGCGGAGGGAACATGGTGGTGACTTTATCTGTGGACCCCGCTTGAAAGATAACGCGGACGCTGGGACGCAGAAGTGACTTTTCAATTTCGCCAAGTCGTGGCGCCAAGATTACGCCCATCGCCAGCGAGTACTACAAACAGCTTGGCCGCGGGAATGGACTTTGCCGGCTGTGAATGCTTTGAATGAGGCGAGACCCTCCAGCTCTCACCATGGGCAGCACGAAGCCGTCGTTGTAGTCCGTGTGCTCGCCGATGAGGTTGACGCGGCCCGGGCCGCAGCCGGCCTGGCAGCCCGCCGCCTCGGGGTCCACGCCGAAGCTCTCCTTGAAGAGGGCGCACGCCTCGCGGACCACTTCCGCCTCGACCCGGATGTGCTGCTCCATGCTGGGTGGCTGGGGTGGACTAGGCCGGCGCCGGTCTGCCTGGGTCTGTGCGTGGGTTTAGGCCTGGGTCCGACCGCTGCGCCAACCTCAAGTGCACTGCCACGGCGGCCGAGAGCGGGCAGGGGCAGCGACGCAAACGCGGAGAGTGCCTCTCTGGTGGCTGGTGCCGGCCGGCCACTGTACACAGAAGCGAAGCGGCGCGATGGATCAGACTAGATTGCCCCCCTCCCCTCTGTCCCCTCTCACTCCACCGACCACCGACCCGCCCCCTCAGGCGCAGCGCGCAGCTGTTCCCCGGAGCTGTCGTCAAACTCGCATTCAACCTGATTGATCAGTGCCAACCGGCGAATGAAAGTGTGGCGGCGAAGGGAAAGGGCCGCCCCGAAATGGAAAACAATATGCATCGGCAGTAGCGGCGTATCTTATCGCCCCAAGGCTCGTCTTGTCCACGTCGCCACTAGAGTAGTCGTCACCTGCGAGCCTGGCGAGGCTGGGCTGGGTTGCTCTAGAGTCCAGGACTCGCCATACACGTGCTTCAGCTTACAGATGTTAGAGTCAATGCCCTGTGGTCTCGGCACTCCCGAATAAATCTGTCACTAGGTACGCTTCAAGCGTCTAACCTCCATTCTGCTCTTCCCTCCAGTAAGCTGGTGGTGGGTACCGTGGGTACTGGGTGTCTTCAGTACACACGTCTCCAAAAGGAGCGGCCCCGGCATCACGTCTCTGTGCTCGTCAACTTCTGTGGCGTTTTCGCGGGATATATCTTGCAGGGGGGTGCATTATACCCGGAAATGAAGAACAATGAAATAGTTAAAATTTGTGTAAGTGCGATTGTCTAGAATGTGGCTGGTACCGGTAGCCTTCCCTGCGCAGACTATACCACGGCCCCGCAGATCCTGCACAGAATCCCCTCTTTTGAAGAGTAGGTATGAAAAATAGGTAGTGAGGTAAAACAATTTAAAAGAGTTTAGCTTGGCGTTTTGTTTTTAATAAAGAAAAAGAAAACAAAGCAGTATATGTTATTGCATTGCACCAAAACTGCTAGACCTACAAAATACTAATCTCATAAATATAGCTTAATCAATTCGTCGCTGACTGCTGATGGCGTTAAAATTCCCAGATCTGTGAATAGAAGAGTGATGTACGCAGGAGGAGTGTAGTCTACCATGGGATGCTCTTTGGATAAATCTTTCTGAAGTTTGCTTGCAGAGTACTGAAATAAAAATTTGAATTGACTTATTAGTAAGATAAAAACAGTAATGAGAATAAAGCTACAGACTGTAGAGGAACCACCATACCTTGAATTCCTTTGGCAGGTTTTGTTGATTGAGGGGATATATTCGGACAAATTTGAAACTTTCCGTCAAAACATAAAATGGCTTTTTCAGTTCTTTTGAGCACATAGCCATTGTGTAACTGCCAATCTAGTAAAATTAATATAAAAATTATTTGATACATGCTCATGAAAAAATCATCCTTTGTTGGTCCCAGTCCATTCTTACCTTATTAATTATTCCACCACTTTCAACTACTCCTTCAGCTCCAACCATTACCATGTCAACTTGTTCCATAACATATCCCATTGCTGAGTCCAGAATCAAAGTGCAAGGTATATGTGCAGCTTCCAACTCTTTACACATGATCTCACTAAAATTGATTAAAACACAAAAAATGGAAGAAATTGTCAGTGCAGAAATAATTGAGATGGCTTAGAACATTCAATGATATAACGAGGCATAAAACTTACCCGCTTTTATCGGGTGATGACTGTGTGACAAACACAGTGAATCTTTTATTAGCTTTTGCAGCTTCTTTCATTGTTTGAAGAACAACCCTTGATTTGGAATGAGTCAAGATTTTCTAGAGAGTAGAAACAGATAACAGACAGGTACAATGTAGATCTAGTAAAAGTAGACATTAATTAAAAAAGACATTAATTAAATAATACTTACAGATCCATCTACAATAAAAGGGGCTGCTGTTTTAGCCACCTTGTCCCGGGACTCTGTTAACTTGTTCAGAAAGTGCTTGCCTCGCTCCAACATACTTGCCTTACATTGATCAAAACTCTAGAAAGGCAACAAAATGTGAGCATACACACCGAGTTTTACAAAAAGTGTCAAAGCTCTAATGACTTACTCAAATATTACCATATCTAGTGGTGTTAAAGTAATAAATCTTTGGAACAGCTCCGTTCCAGATGCAACAGATGTCACTGGGTGATCAGTTTTACGCATAGCTGCAATAGCTTTTGATAACTTATTATCCAGTTCCTGCATGGTGTTAGCTAGAAAGAATAAAAAGTATAAACATCGACTTTTCAATCATTTCAGAAAGATATGAACAAAATAGTCATGAACTTGACTTCATACAATTATCCTTTTCTAAGAAATGAAGGAGAGTCCGAATAGCTGCAATACCAGCAGAAACATCATTGTCCTTTCGTAGGATGGCGCTGAAGTAGTCCGCAACTGAAAAATAGATGAACACAACTCCACTTCACGAAAAAATCACAGATATGGTCAGTGGGATAGCTGAGAAAAAATCTTGACAAGGAAATGCCACAAGTCAACGCGGTCAAAACCGTCGTTATTTCTTCTGCAAGGTAGAGAGATGTCAAGACATGGACAGCATAACCTACAACATTGCGTCAGAACATCAGAAACGTAGTCATAGTCACTCACCCTCGCCCTGTGCGTCCATCCTGGTTGAGGGTGTTTGCTTTTGTGTCTGCGCTTGAATGGTGCAATACGTTTAACACTAACGAAAACAGGAAAAATATTGGGAAAAACAGTCCAATATGTTATGGCTGAGTATGTAAACATAAACCATGGAAGACATAGGCGGGGGGGAATGGGAATGCTCGACACCATGAGAAATTGCGTTGGCGGCAGCTTTAGCTGGGAAAGGAGAAGTGGGGGATTCGATAAAAATTAATTCCCATCCTTGTGATAATCTCTGTGATGATGCTCGACAGTGAGAGAACGAACGATTGTGCAAAGTGAGGCAACTGTGTTTGTAGAAGGTGTTTGTATCTATATAGACAGTCAGCAGCATTTTGTAGAACTCATGAGTAAAGAACGTCCCATTCTCCATTTGTAAGTGACTTTTTATTGAAAAATGTTTATGGTAGATCCAGTAACACTGAAAAGGTTGATATTTGAAACACTTTGTTACTGTTGTTACCCACTGGTGACAGTTGGGATTTGATTTTTATAATTTTCCACTTTCCAGGAAAAATGGAGAAAATCATCAATGAAAATGACAACTCTATGGATACGATGGATACATCACTACTAACTGACACCCGAAGAGAAAGTTTATCACTCGAGGAAAGTGAAATGCAAATGTCAATCAAAATGGAAGGCAGCCAATCAGATGAAGAAACAGGTGAAATCAAGGGTGTCATCAATGAAAACAAGGATCCTATTTGTACCTCGTTACTGATTGACACTCCGAAGGAAAGTTTGCTTGAAGAGGAAAAAGAAACACAAACTTCGATTAAGACAGAAGGGGACCAATCGGGCGATTACTTACCCAGTGATCTTAACATTCAATCTGAGGCCACACCTCAGCAAAGACAGTCAAGATTTGAGGTAGATGTCAATCAAATAGAATCTGTCACAGTAGAAGATCAGGATGCTGACATCCAGTCTTTAGGCCTTACTGTTTACAACCAAAGTGCTTTAGAACGTGGGATTTGGGACCAAGTGGAAAGAGAAACTAGGAAACGAGAAGCTCAACAAGAACTAGTTTACGTCTCTACAAAGTTAAAACTGGCAGAGGAGCAGCTCAAACGAGTTGAGGCAGCCAAAGGTGTTAAGAGGTCAATTCTTCAGTCAGCTTTGGAGGAACCAGCCAGAAAAAAGCTAAACATCACTGCATTGAAGAAACACAAAGATGCAACGCAAGAGACGGTAGAGCAGCTTCGTTTGAAGCAGGCCAAATTACAAGCACAGTTGAACAGCAAAGTTCAGACAAAGAACAATGAAAATGCGCAGGAATCAGAAAGAGATCGTAAGATACGAATGGGTGAAATGACTCCCTTTGGTACTACTGCTAATGCTGCATCTAGGTATGTATCCATGAATTGTGGTTTCTCTTATGTTTTTAATTTTTAACCCATGTATTACTTTAGCCTTGTTTTTATATTATTTAGCGACTTAAGCAGTTTTGAAAAATATCTGAAAAGTCAACAAGAGCTTCACAAAAAAATGATGAGTACTTGTACAACAAAAAGCAAATCAAGTTCCAAATCAACTAAAAGGCAAGGCTCAGAGAAACACTCACAACCCTCAGCAAAACAGAAAACACCTCCAAGCAAAACAATTTTAAAGAAAAACATCCTTTTTCCTAAGAAAAAAATACCTAAGGAAAGACTAGGAACTACCACTAGTGAGCTTGAGGAAGACCAAAGACGACGTCCTGGGGATGCACCTGCTGAAATCAGTGTTGTTGATCTCGAGGAATCGGGAAGTGAATATGTGCCTTCTGGAACAGATGGTAAGTGCTAGAAATTTAAAATATTGCTGGATATTTAAAATCACTGACCCCTTGCGAACCCTTACTATTTTTCACCATAGATGAGGACTACCAAGTTGAAAGTCCTGTAAAGAAACAACCTGTTAGTCATCCTTCCAAGAAAGGGAAACCATTTGCCGCTCCCAGAAAAGGTCCCCTATCTGATAAGTGGGCAGGAGGTTCCCTCAAGCGCCGCAGGAAGTGTAGTAAAGCATTGCCAGATGGAGATCAAGAAGAATGGAGAAGTGATGACTCCGATTGGATATGCACTGATGATGAAGAATTCAGTAGTGACAATGATTCTGGAGGAAATTCTAAGAGAAAATGTAAGTGAATGTTATGCATTAAAAGCAATAACCATAAGATAAAGCATTAATTTTTTTGTTCAACTTGTGCACAGCCAGAAGAGCCAAAGATGATGGTAATAGTGAAGACTTTTTTAGAAGAGTTAAAGTGTGGGAAAGACAAAATGAGGGATTGCGTGATCAGATGGAAGTAGATGTTCATGAGTTTGATAACGGGTTTAAAGTGCCCAACTCTATTTGGGACAAGCTTTACACGTAAGTACATTTTTAATAAAAATTAGTTAGTGGTTAAACTGAAACAATTTTTTAATCTGAAGTTTTGATTTAAGATATCAACAAGTTGGAGTGAGGTGGATGTGGGAACTGAATCAGCAGAAGTGTGGTGGTATTTTGGGAGATGAAATGGGCCTCGGGAAGACAATTCAAATCATATCTTTCTTAGCTGGTCTCTTCATCAGTAAATTGAAATGTCGGACCACTGGGTAAGATAATGAAGTCCAGCTTATATGGGAAAAAAGTTATGGTTGTATAATAACAATATTTATCGACCCTGCAGATACCGTGGTCTTGGACCAACTCTCATAGTTTGTCCCACAACAGTCATGCATCAGTGGGTGCGTGAGTTTCACTTGTGGTGTCCTCCATTGAGAGTTTCTATTCTTCATGAATCGGGCTCCTACACTGGTATGTTTCTTCATTATTTAATGTAGGTATGTGAAAGTCTGTATGTGTTTTGTGCAGCTAATACATATTGTAATACTCATCTTTTCAGGAAAACGTTCTCAATTGATCAGAGAAATGCTCCATGAAAAGGGTGTGATGATAACATCATATACTGCTGTTGTGCGTCTTCAAAACCATTTGCTTCACCAACGCTGGCATTATGTTATTCTAGATGAAGGTCACAAAATACGCAACCCTGATGCTCAGGTTAGTCCTCTATTTGTTTAAAATTAATTTTTATTGAATGTGATCAGAATAAAACTTGGGTTTATATCTTTGTTTGATAGGTGACAATAGCTCTGAAGCAGCTGAGAACACCACATCGCATTATTTTGTCAGGGTCACCTTTACAAAATCATCTCCGTGAGTTATGGTCATTAATGGATTTTGTTTTTCCTGGAAAACTGGGCACTCTGCCTGTTTTCATGTCTGAGTTTGCTGTGCCCATTAGTCAAGGAGGATACACAAATGCCTCAGAAGTTATGGTAAGCTTTAAGACTTCTTGGAACTACCAAAAAATCAATAACGTAAAAGTTAATATATATTTTGATCTCTTTATCTAAGGTTGCTACAGCATTTAAGTGTGCTTCTGTTCTCCGAGACACTATTGCTCCCTACCTGTTGAGGCGTATGAAAGCAGATGTGAGTGACCACATAAAACTTCCCTCCAAAAATGAGCAAGTTTTATTTTGTCGTCTTACTGAGGAACAACGAGACCTTTACAAGGAATACTTGCAGTGTGGTGAAGTTGGGAGAATTTTGGACGGTCGTTGTCAAATTTTTGTTGGTTTGATTAATCTACGTAAAATTTGCAACCACCCTCATCTTTATTCGGGTGGACCGAAATTACTTTCCCATGTAGGTATATTCTATGACTAAAGCCTATTTCAATATCTTTCTACCAATTTGTGGGTTATGTTTTGAGAACATGTGTTATGTTTTAAAATGAATTTTCAGGAGAAAGAAGAAAATTTGTCGGTAGAAGAGCGGTTTGGTCACTGGGAAAAGGCAGGTAAAATGGTTGTAATAGAAGCACTCCTCAAAATGTGGCACAAACAAGAGCATAGAGTTCTTATATTCACACAAAGCAGACAGGTGAAATATTATTTTGAGACTTCAAACTTAAAATATTGTTTTCTTAAGTTCAAATCTATTAAACTCAAGTTTATATTTTTTTCGCAGATGCTGCTTATTATGGAAAAATTAGTCAGTGATAAGGGTTACAAGTATTTGAAACTGGATGGTGGCACTTCTATTGCTGCACGTCAACCTCTGATTAATAAATTTAATGAGGTACACTTTTCAATTCCTCAGGTTTCTTGCATTTAATGTTGTTCAAAGTTATTTTTTTACTGGTCTTCCTTCATTGCAGGATAAATCCTTCTTTCTTATGCTTTTGACTACGAGAGTCGGTGGGCTGGGAGTGAATCTCACAGGTGCTAATCGTGTAGTCATTTATGACCCTGATTGGAACCCAGCAACTGACACCCAGGCTCGGGAACGGGCGTGGAGAATTGGTCAGCAAAATGCTGTTACTGTGTATCGGTTAATAACAGCTGGCACCATAGAGGAAAAGGTGAATCATATGTTAAATATCACTCACATTTGTTTAAAAAACTGAATGTACTTTTTTTCCGTCAATTAACATATGAATTATTGTATCGTTTCCAGATGTATCATCGTCAAATCTTCAAACAGTTTTTGTGCAATAAGGTTCTAAAAGATCCACGCCAGCGAAGATTTTTTCAGTCAAGTGACCTTTTAGACTTGTTTACATTGAAAGAAACTGATGATGCTACAACAGAAACATCTGCAATATTTGCTGGAACCAATTCCCAGGTAAAAGAAAGGTGTTTTGAGGAAGTATCTTTACTCACTTAGATGTGCAAATGTAGAAACTACATTAAGAGTGATTCATTTACAGGTTCATGTCAAACCCAAGCAAGAAAATAAGAAAAGTCCCAGGGATAAAAGAATTTCTCATGGTTCATCACATCACTCTCATAATCACCTTCAGGATTCATCACCTCATCCCCATAAATCCAAACATGAAAAGTCCAAAGCTCACTCAGACGGTAGGACTAAGTCTAGCAGACTGGAACAAACTGCCAAAATTAGTTTTTCACAAGATAAGCTCGAGCATATGAAAAAGCTTGCTCACGAACTCAGTTTGAAACTTTCGAGTAAAGTTTCTGCCAAAGAAAATGCTGTTGTGGATAAGGAACCCCCACAAGTACCAAATAGTGCTGAAAATATTGATAAAGTTGATAAAATTGGAGTGTGTGAATTAGATGAAGCAAAAGTACAACCAGATTCTAGTGACAAAGATGGGTCTGATGATCCAGCGGCCTATAAAAATGAAAATGGAGTTGAGAAAGAATGTGGAGAGCACCAATCAGAAAGTGTTTTGCCTGAAGTAGGCCCTCTTGAAGAAGTAATTATGGCAGATGATTCTGATGATGATCTTGAAGGTATGAAACAGTTTGCTCAGGAACTAAGTAAAGAACTACTGAAGAAAGTGAAAACTGCTGCAGCAGTTAACATACCAAAGATTTGTGAATCGGATGGTGTTGCAAGATCCAACTCTCAAACAGATGGGGTCCTTAAAGTTAGGGATTCTGTTGAGAATCTTGCCACTGATGCCTCTGCTTTAGATGGCAGTATTAGGAAAAGTACTCAGGTGTCAACAGAAATACCTCAAAAAGTGCCAGAAATTGATGGTCGAATTGCCAAAGAAACAACATTGTCTGGTAGACCAGATACTTCCTCTCAGTTGGTCTTTATAGGCCACAATAATCATAATTCCAAACCGAAAGAGTCTAGAGAAAGTTCTACATCATCAAGACACAGAAAAAGCAAGAAGCATAAAAAAAGTAGGCACAGAGATGCTGTTTTTGAGGGAGAAAGAGTGAAAGGCCTGGTTAAGGCATCTGTTTTGGAAGAGAAATCCAAAGAAGAAATTGAGGAGCGGGCTTCTCACAATGCGAAACAAGATGATTATGTTTTGAGGAAACTCTTTGCTAAAACTGGTAAGATGGCTCCAAGAGTCTCTTTTTTTTCTGTGTGTTTTTCTTTTCTTTTTTTTGCCACTTTGGATTGTTTTTATGCACTTATTCCTTTTATTTTGTGGCAGGAATTAAAACGGCCATGCAGCATGAGAGAGTGATGCAGTCTGGCGACGCAGATTATGCTTTGGTCGAAGGTGAAGCACGCAGAGTGGCCCAGGAAGCTGTGAAGGCAATGAAAGCGTCACGGCAACAATGTTGGAATCCGATGTCAGGTCAAGCCACATGGACAGGTTCAAGTGGTGCTATCAGAATACCACAGGGAGGAGAAAATAGACCCCAGCCGTCAAGGTAATGTTTTCAGTCACACCATTTGTTTGTTTTTTTCTTCTGATTGTTGTTTGAAGTTTGTGTTTTGATTTCCACTACAGGCCCAAATTTGGAAAGAAAAAGACTCTTCAGAAGAAGAGCAGCACTCAGACATCAAATGATGCAGAGGCTGAAGATGAGGCTGGGTCCAGTTCTCTTCTGGCGCGTATTCGTGCACGAAACTTGCTTTTGAATGAGGATGATGATGATGCCAACGCAACAGGTACGTGCACTTTCTTCGTGACCACCGACTTGGAATCTGCTTGTGTTTTACTAGTAACACTTACACCTTTAACCTCAGGTCCACCACCTAGTGTGCCGGACAGCAATAAAGAACTGTTGGATGACATAAGAACGTTCGTTTCATTTGGAGCCAGTGTTGATGGCCGCGCAACCACGGAAGAAGTGATCACTCAATTCCGGGACCGTCTTCCCCCTCAGTCATCAGCTTTGTTCAAGCAAATGCTCATGCAAATTTGTGAATTTCATCGGCTGCCCAGTGGGCAGGGAGTTTGGAAACTCATTCCTGATTTTAGGTGGTAGATATCCATTGTCTATCATTTGTTGATATTGTGATAAAATTTGATTCATATCAAAGTACTAAAAGAAAGTGAGATCTGAATAGATTGTGTGCTGTATTGCTAAACAGAAAGACAGATAAATTTTAAAATTGAAATACATTAATTGGACTTTTTAAAGTTATTGAAATGTTTAATTGTTTTGGTAGCTCATGTCTGTCAGCACTAATTGAATGTGCTTAAGTTTCTCATGGATTTTAAAATTTTATTTGAGTCAGTTTTCTACTTTTAATCTTATCAGTACATCAATGAAAGGCTGATTTCCACATTCTGATGAGAAGAGCCTCTTTTTAACTGCATTCTTGTCTCACTTTTTCTGTTCCAAGTACCTGTTCTGTACAAGTATTAATGTTTTTGTTGTTAGGCAGTTTTTGTGTTTTTGTTATACAGAGTGGCCCATGGACCCCATAACGTGGGAATAAATGCTGTGCTTGGCAGCTGGTCCATGAGACACCCTGTATGTTGTTTGAAGTATTTTTTACTTTGGAGGCTTTGCTCTGTTAATTTTGGTTTTGAAGTCTGTTGTTTTGATACTAATGTTTTTTTATGTGCCCTGTAAATAAAGGAGTAAAAACTAAATGATACTTTTCTTTACATGCATTCCTCTCCTCTTCTGTTTTGAAAAAAAAAAACAACTCATAACCACCTGAGGTCTGAGGGTGAAAGTAGTGGGGATGTAGTAAGAAAAATAGTTACGGTTTGTTTAAAATTATTTACTTGTCGATTTTGGATCAATCCTTCTTTTTACAGTTTATTTACATCTGTACAACATAAGCAATAACATTGATTTTGCTTTTTTTACATTTAAATGGTTTTTAACTAACAACTTACCTTGTAACTACAGTTGTATTTAAATCACATTTCATCACATATCAAGTATGTACGCATTTCATGTAAATAAGCAGTCGCGCGTTAGAAAAAGCATGGATGGTCCCACCCCAGCCCGTTCCTTCCCTTCTTTTTAAAGAAAATATTTCCCATGCAATTTCCATTACAGTATTGAGCTCATTTACACAAAACCCATCTCAAGTTCGCCTGTTACAATTCATTCCTGAAAGAATGAATGTATGGCTTGAATGATTAAATATGCCAAGAACTGAGAGGTATGAGTGACCATACCATGTGTTTTAGCAGAGTAATAACGATTATTAATAAATATCTATTCTTGGGGCTGTAATTTTATACATTAACATGTGAATACAATATATACTATTTACAAATATTAACAATGTTTACAAAAGAGAAGCCTCAGAATTTTTACTCTGCATGGGCAAATTATAACATATGGTCAGTCGGCATGAGTTAATACATCAGTTAGCTGACAAAAGAGTTATGCTGTTAAAACATTATGACTCCTAAGGTCAAGATTAAGTGAGACGTCTCTGCAGTCATTATAGTCCCACAGTAAATAATAGTTTCCAAAAGAAAAATCATTTTAAATTTGATCATATCACGTTTACTTAAAAATCTTGATTGAGTCAATTAATAATGAGAATTGCGATTTAGTAGAATAAACATGAAAAAAAATCATTATGAAACTGAGATGATTCTAATAACGCAGATTATACTGATATGGTTCTAGTAAGAAACTCCAAAGAGTGAATAAATGAAGTGAGGATGCACAAATTCTTTTTTGTGAACAATCAATAAACTTTGAATAAAATATTTCATAAATACTTCTCACACTTGACACAGTACTTTTTACACATATACATACAAACAGAATGCAGAGGCATAATGTAGTTTGGAACATCAAAGGCTACAACATAAAGTGTCCCCTCTCGTTACAACAAAAATACAAGGCTAAAATGTGATGTTCACACAGGTTACTATATTAAAAACATGCAAGAGTACTAATCACAGGATTAAAGGAGAAATTCATGAGATCTTTGGCCACAAAGTATAGGCTTGGTTGTGATGTGATGAAGAATTGTAGAACATAGCATTTGGTGGTTGGTAGGTCTTCAGTTCTGCGAGGTCAATGCCCATACACTTTATAATTAATTGGCTAACAATAAATATATTTAACTACAAACAACACACACACATATTTTGGCAACATTCACTAGTGGATGAGGAGAAGTCACATGTGCGGCCTTCCCCGAACAGATATTTTCACAAGAACTATCACTAAAACAAACAACAAAAAATAAAGCTTGTGTTCCTTTCTCCCCACCCAACCACATTCACACTTACGCACGCAAACAAGCACACATAGACAGTCTTGATACATACAGGTGCTATCAATACAGGACTCGGGTTGGCGAGGCGGCGAGGCGAGGGTGGTTGGCAGCCTCGGCCCTCGACCTCGCCGTCAGTACGGCAGGAACTTTGGCGTCTCTTCCTCCTCCTCTCCCAGGATTCCAGGTCCAGGGCCACCTCGTCACCAGTCTCTCCCCCGGCGATGCGAAGTGCCCCTGTGCGAGTGGGAGGACCCCGAGGACCCAGAGAACCCAGAGGACCCTCGAGACAGCGTTCTCCTGAGAGCCTGGCTGGTCTCCTGGGAGGCTGACGACGATGACAATGACGACGATGACGAGGATGAGGACGAGGACGAGGAGGGCGAGGACAGCCCGCCGAGGGCGTTGCCCCCGAGGCTCAGGTGGTGGCTGAAGCGCGAGGGCGACCGCGACCAGTAGCGGTAGTTCTGCGGCCGGTTGCGGGTCTGCTCCAGGCCCCAGTTGCTGATGAAGGCGGGGGCGGGCGGCAGCGGTGGCCACCACGGGCTGGGCTTCTCCACAGTGTCCTTGGGGAACACGACGGGCTTGTCCAGGAGCAGGCGGTTGGCGTCGCCGCCGCCGGGGCTGGTGCCGGGGCTGGTGGGGAACGTCACGTCGATGGACGGGAAGCGCACGTGGCCGGCGGGCCGTTCGGCGGGCCGTTCGGCGGGCCTGTTGGCGGCGGGGACAGACGCCGAGGCCGCGGCAGGCGCGGGGAAGCGCAGCGGCGCGCCGCCCACCGCCTCGGGGGCGATCACGGGGATGCGCGACGACAGCGGCGACAGCGGCGAGTGGGGCCGCAGCAGGTTGCTGCTCGACGGCCGGCTCTCGTCGCTCGCGGTTGAGGAGGTTGAGGCAGCCGCAGTCGTGGGCAGTGGAGTGGTCGTCGTCGTCGAGGAGGACGGGGAGGCCGTCGTCGTCTCCACGCTGACGCTGGGCGAAGCTGAAGACGAGGCGGCCGTGGAGGACGGCACAACGTCCTCGTCGGGGCCTCTGCTGGGGGAAGACGCAGCCACAGTCTCTGTCGAGGACGGAGACGATGCGGCCGAGGGCGTCTCCGGCGAGGACTCCGTCGAGGCGGTGGGGGTTGACGACGGCGTCCCGGAGACAGCGGAGGCCTCCAACGGGCGCGTGGTCGTGGTGGCCGTCAGCCCCAGAGCCGCGGCCAGCAACTGCTGAAGCTGGTGCGACGACGCGTCCGCCACCGCCTGGCTGGGGTTGGCGGGCACCTCCTGCACCAGTGAGTCGCCCGTCACCAGCGGGGAGTTGTTCACCTGGAGAGAGAAGACGGCGTCCGTTAGCAAAGGCCAGGCATTTCCCTGGGGCTCGGGGTAGTCGGTCACCAGGACACTCTAGGCGGGACTCACCGTGTTGATGATGGGGTCCACTGCATCCGGGCGGGCGGCGGGGGCGCTCACTGGCGAGACCGAGGGCACCTCGTTGCTGGGGGCGGCGGCGGGGTTGGGGGCGGCCACTGCGGCGGCGCCGTTGACTAGATAAGCACCGCTCTGCACCGGGGGGATGGGGGCGGGGGCGGGGGCGGGCACATAGGGCTGCTCCTCGGACGTGAGCATCACCACCTCCGGGACGAGGGAGCCGTGGGCGTCCTCCGTGGACGGCGTCGGCACGGGCGTGTCTGTCTCCTCGAGCGCGGGTGTCGTGCTCACGGCCTCCGTCGCGGTCTCCGTGGCCTCCTCCGGGGCGGGACTGGGGGCAGGCGACGGCGAGACGTCGGGGCTGGGGGCGGGTTCAACCACCCCGGCGATGGGAATGTTGAGCTGGAACGGCCCCGGGGGCGGGCCGGGGGGCGGCGTGGGTTCAGCCTGCTCCGGTAGAGACAGTGGCACGTCGGAGAACTGGCTGGTCAACTTGTCCAACAAGAGGTCCCAGGACTTCTCCGCGTCCACCTTCACCACCTTGACGCAGCGCCCCATGTCGTCTTGCTGGTAGCCTGCGAGCAGAAACAGACAGCAGTCAGCACCGCGGAAACACTTGACTGCGAGGGGAGTTGACGAGGAACCTGACGGGCACTCACCCTCGGCGCACTGGTCACGCTCGCCGTTGAACGACGGCGCGATGAACACGGACTTGGGCGTGATGCGGCGCGTCACTGCGCCGGTGGGCACGTTGTCGCCGCCCAGGCCAGAGGCCGCGGGGTCCAGCATGAGGAAGGCGTAGCGCTCCAGCTCGGACTCGGCCAGCTCGCCCAGGGTGCGGCCGCCGAGGCCCGCGCCAAGCCCGCCGCCCAGCGCCGCGCCCAGCGACGTCGCGCTGCTGCCGTGGCCGCTGCCTCCACCGCGGGGCGTCGGCGAGCCGCTCGGCCAGGCGGGGGCGGCGCCGACGCTCGTGGGGGCGGCCGAGCTGGCAGTCAGCGCGGCGAGGATCAGCAGAAGCGGCAGCAGCAAAGTCATAGCAGCAGTCAGGTCGGGGAGGCCCGGTGTGCCCGGTGTGCCCTCAGTCGACCGGCACGGCATGTGTGTGTGCGTGTGCAGCCAGGGCCCAATGCCCAACGCGCCAAACGCCATACGAACCGCACGTCGCCACCTGGAACAAGGAAGAGAAAACGCTCGTCAGCACATTGGAGCAGCCATAGTGGAAGCGAGCCTCGATCGCCTGCGCGGCGGCCAACCTATCCGGCCAACCGACTGCAGGCTGCAGTACGCGTACACCGTGTGCTAGGCGGCTAGGCTGGTCAGATAAACGGGTCCCGGGTCGCGGGGGTCGCCGTGGGGCGGCATCTCGGCGGCGCGGCGGTGCGGCGGCACGCGGCCAGCAAGAGCAGTGAGGAGCCTTCCTGCACTTTGTGCGGAGAAAGGGCGACTGAAAGGAACAAAAAGCAGCGCGCCGATTAGCCGCAATCATCAACAACAATACAACCAATCGGCCGTGAAGATAAAGGGCGGCAAAAAAGGGGACTTGCTCTCCCGAGGCGTGGGAGAAGGAACGGGAACGGGCCATGTAATTGTGGGAGAGAGAGAGAAAGAGGCACTCCCCGCGCTTCCCGGAGGACGGAGACGGAGGACCCCTCCTTGATTCGCCAAAGTCGAAAAGAGCGGGACCGTTTCCCCAGTGCCACCAACGTTTCCTCCGGTAGTCCGCCCAGTCCGCGGACCTTGCTTTTGCACTGCTTGCACTCCGACGGCGCCGCACCGCCACGCCACTGCAGTCGCGGCTCCACCCACGCCACGGCCACGGCCCACCCACGCACAACGCGTTGACAGCAGTGTATGCGCAGCTCGCGACACTCGCCCGAATCAACAAAAACAATAGCAACAAAAAAGATAAACGCGTAACCCTCTCGCCGTGTAACAGTGTCACGCACTTGGCAATCAGCCGCCCGCACTCCCCCTCCAGGTCCCAATTCAAGCGCGGGCTGTGGGCCCATATTGGCTTTTATCGGTCAGTGGACTCGTCACTCGACGGCCCCTCGACGGGCCGCCCCTCGCCGCCGCGCCCCCGCACGCTTCCCACAGGTACCGCGTACAGTCGCCACCAAAAGTCGGCGGGTGTGGTGCAGTGCTGCGGCTCGTTGGGCCCGTTGACCACCTGCATGCCGAGCATGTCTGCACCCGAAACAAACACCCTGCCGCATTCCTGCCCTGACGCCTCCGCATCCTGCAGCAGTCGCTCGCACCCCTTGCGGTAAGCGCCGTGAGTGCGAGAGAGACGACAGCCGTCTCAGGCTCCTCGACCCTTCCCTTTCATCTTCCACACCATTTTCCTCCTAATTTATGGACACGGCCTCTGCGCGTCTAAGCCGGATAGACAGACGGGCGGGCGGGCGGACGGACGGACGGACGGACGGACGGACGGACGGACGGACGCGACGCCTCGCCGGCGTCCTGACACCTCGGGGTGACAGGTGCAGCGGGTGCAGACCGTTCCCACGGTGGCCGTCGCTCTGTCTCTCTCGCACCCAGGGACGCATTGTCCGGCCAAAAGCCAATCGGCTCATCACCTTGTCCGGGCGACACCAGCGCAGAGCGCACACACGTCAATGGTACCTACTGAGGGTAGAAGGTGCCCAACGGGTTGCCGGCCTCCTCGGCGAAGGCGCAGCCACGACACACACGCGACAGTCACAAACAAGAGTCGCTGGCAACAGAGAGACGCGCACAAACAAATATAGCCGCCACGTTTATCGGCCTCTAATTAGACTGAGAGCCGAAATCCTCCGGACGCACGCCGCATGGCTGCCGCTTCGCCGCGTTTCGCCGAGTTTCGCTGCCCGCGGCGCAATTTTATCTACCGAAGCCGCTGATGTAGTTGGCGCCAGACGAGTACAGCCCGTCTGGGGCAAAGCGAAACACTCGGCCCACGCGCCGGGCAGCGGGGCAGCCCGCCGCCACCGCGCCGCCGAACGGTGCCGAACGGCCAAACCCGCCGCGACGGCGGATTGCATGGGTTGCACGCGGGGATCGGCTGCCGCCAGGGTGAGTATGCGCTGGGGAACCGCCACACCGCAAAGCCAGATTCGCGAACCCCCTCCCCTCCCTCATCTGCATCGGTCCTACCCCACCTCGGGTCTCCGAGTTTGCTGACGGGTTTGGCCGGCTAGCCCGTCCCATTCATCTGGCGCCATCGGACCCATCGGGCTTATCCCGCCAATCTGGCTGCCCGGTTCGTCTTCGACGGGCTGCTCCTCGAACGCCGCCCCGCCACGCCCCGCCACTGTCACTTGGGCGGCCGCAGTTTCAAAACAAAGCGCGAGTACGTCCCGCTGCGGCCGCCTTGCCCGTGAAAGCCAAACCCGCGCTCAAGGCCGCGGAGCCGCGGACATGCGCGTCGTCGTCGGCGTGCCGTCCGTCGCGCAACCTCGCGCCACGTAACCAAGAGCCAGAACTTTCGAACGGCTGGCCAGGACGGCGAGACGGCGCTATCATCGGGGTGCTGGCCTGCCTTGCCCTCGGCGTGCTCTCAGTGCACTCCTATCAGCTGGGCCTGGCCTAGGCCTGGCCCGGCCTCCACGTTCGACGAATTCACCATGCGCCAATCCGTCACAACATCCCTTTCATGCCTGACAAGCAGCAGCGCAGCGTGGCAGCACACTGCGTCCTGGCCGCTGCGCCACGCCGCTCGCTTTCCACCGGGGTTCGCCGAAGCCGGAGAATGCACTTGCAGCTCTGCAGCTATGCAGCGGCCAAAAATCATAAAATTTGGCGCGCGGCCTCGCCGTCTTTCCCCTTTTGTCCCGCCATCATGCAACCACAAAGACGAGGAGAGACGTTCGAGGCGGCCGAGGCGGGAGGATGGCCCGGAAGGGGCCTGGCGCAGCCTGGCGCTGTCATCGCCGAATAAATAACAAGCCTGTCCCCTTTTTCTGCCGTTCCTGCGTCTCTGCTGCCGCTGCTGCCGCTGCTGCCGCCGTGACCCGGGCCGACCCCCGGCACGGCGCGCGGCGCGGCGCATCTCGACTTCACGCGACCCGGTCGGGCGGCGGGGCGGGCGGCCTGCGGGTCCCAAACGGTGGCACGCGCGCCTGCTTCGCGCCGCCACCGCCAGGCCGCGCCACGGCCGCGCCCCACCCCCCGCACCGCGACAACGGCGTGATCCCCGGGCCGATGAAATTGCTTCACATTTACGACTGGCCGCGCGCACCGCGCGCACCGCGGGGTGGACCGGCAGCGCAGCAGCGCGACACTTTCGCCCTGACCGTCCTCACTGCGCTGTGGCGCGGGTCGCGGGGCACCCAGCGGCACCGCGCTCCGTGTTTGCCGGTTCCCATTTCACTTTCCAATGTTTGCCTCCACGGTTTGGCCCGGCTCTTGCCTCCGCCGCTGCCGGGGCGCTACGCCCCGACCGCCAAACGCGCCGAACGCGGCGCGCAAAGTTCGCCAAGATAAGCAAGGCGCAGGAAAGTGTTCTGCAGACCTGGCCGGGCTGCCCGTCGGCCCGTCCCGCCGCCCCGTCCGCCGGCCGGCATGGCATGTTGTGTAACGCGCAGACGGGTCCGGCTCGTCTCCATCTCTCCCTCCGGATGGGTGGCGGCCAGGCGGGGCGGTGGCGGGGCGGGGGCCTCCGGCTCGCCTCTATGGCCGGGGCGCGGCGGCGCGGGCTGCGCGGCCGGACGGGTTACCCGGAACTTTGACCTTGAGGAGCCCCGCCATGACCCGGCCGGAGGGGCGGCCGGAGGGGCGGCCATCCGCCTGCGGTGTGCCGTGCATCAGCATGGCAGCACTGCAGCGCGCGCGCCGCGGCCGTTGCGTCGTCGTCGTGGTGCAACAGCGGCGGCGGCCCCCCAGGTGCTCGCACTCCAGGAGCTGGCCGGGGCGGCGACGGCGGCGACCTCCCTCTTCCCTTCCATCCGTCTCTGCTTATCGCGGAGCTCGGTTCGCCTGTCCTCGGAACTGCCTCTCGGTGCGCGTTGACGCGCGCCTCGGTGAATGGCGCGCCGCCGCCAAACCAGCCAAACTTTCCCAAATATCGGCCGAATTTCCCCCACCGCGCCAGCCGCGCCGCGTTGCCCACAGAGTAGCAGCAGCAGCTGCAGCAGCAGCCGGGGAGGCATTCCACGGGGAAGCTGGGCCCCTTCTTTACTCAGCGCAGTGCTCAGTGGGGCGCGCGCCGCCACACTCTCAAAATACAAATGTAAACCGTGGCCGCTTTTGCTGTGTCAAATGAAAATGAAGCTGGACTGCCGTGTCGCCGCCACTGCAATGGTTGGCTCAATTTTCGAATGAAGCCCTTCTCGGAAAAGAAGCAAGAGTGGCAGAGATCTCAACGCACGAAGGCTGGGCAAGCCGTGGGCAAGCCGAGGGGAAGCAAATGCACACTGCAGGCACACTGCACACTCGTACAGTCCCGGCAACAAGTGTGTCAAGGGGCGCGGCCGCGCGGCCCTAAGCAGAGAAGTAAGCGCGCGTTCCCAATCGCCTCAGATGCTAGAAAAGACACACGCGGGACGAGAAGAAACCGCAAAAAAAAGTCACCTTGCTATTTTTATTGTTTTTTCTTTTTTGTTTGCCGGCGGCACTTTGGCCTGTCCACCGCTACACCAACACGTCCCCCGGAGGCGTTGGCGTGGCCGTCGTGGGGCTGTCGTGCGCGCTGCAGCAGTACAGGGAGTGCGGCCAGCTGACTGCCGCCCCGCGCGCCCCGCGCGCCCCGCCGCGAAACAACTTAGTTGCAGCCTCACAAAAACTGTCATTACCAGGTAGGCGATCCGCCATGACAACACGGCCCGGCCCGAGCCCCGCACAGCGTTCGCGACGTTCGCGCAGCAGCGAAGCGCCCCCG